CCCTACTGGCTATCACTAATTTCCCATGTAGTTGGCAGCTCAGACATAATGAAGAAGCTCTGTACTATGTTAACCCAATAACAAAAAATAGCTTCCTGTGAGCTCTCCAACAAAGAACAGTGATGTTTATAGTGATTATTATTAAGATGTATGAGTAGACAAACCTTGGAGAGTGTATGTGGTCATTGATATAGTAGACAACAAATAAAAGCATCAATTGATAATTTGAATGAAAGAGAGATATATCTGGCAAGGTTATGGCAGTGAATATAACAAAGGGTGAAGGGTCCCAGTATTCAGCCAACCACCTCAGTAGATCTGTAAGAATAATGGTCATACAACCTGATTACTGGACTATGTGAGCCTATCAGCCTTTATTGAATCATCCAGCACTTCCCTTATTTCCTCATTTACAGATAAAAAGCAAAACAAAGCTGACTCATGGATTTCCAGCTCTGCAGAGGTGCTTTCCAGCAGGTCAGTCACAGACTATGCTGGTGTCTGGGATTACATACACAGATGCAGAACCCTGCATTTGCCTTTATTGAATTTCAGAAGGTTTCTCTCTGTCCATCCCTCCAACCTATCAAGGTCTTTCTGAAAGATAAGCACAGCACCCAGGGGTATCAGCCACCCAGTTTTGATGCATCAGCAAACTTGGATGAAGAAGTGGAGTATCTTTTGAGCAAGTCACTGATGAGTAAGTTAAACAATACTAGGCCCAGTATTGAACCTTTGGGGACACTGCTTGTGACAGGCTTCCAAGTGGATCTCGTGTCACTAATAATGACTATCTGCTATTCAGACAGTTATCAATCCACTTCGCTGTCCACTCATCCAGCCCACACTTCCTGAGTGGATGCTGTGGAGCCTGTGAGGATGCTGTGAGAGACTGTGTCGAGGCAGACAATACCCACTGCCCTCCACTCGTCCATCCAGATAGCTGTTTCATCTGTTTCATCGTAAAAGTCAATCTGGCTGGCCAATCCTGCCAGTGACTCTGCTTGTAGCTTTTATAGCTTTCTTGTTAGCTAACTCACAAGAGGTACAAACAATCATAGCTTTCTTCTGTATAAATTCCAGCATTCGTTCAGGGTGTGAAAGACAAATTCAGCTCCCTTCCCTTCAAAAGCAACTTGAATTTTCTCAGCTCCATGCAACTGCCCTTACCATTGAGTCATGGTCTTGTTTGCCACAACTTTTCTTGAAACTGTCCCAACAGGGATGCTACACTCAAGAATTTGAGTTACTCAAAAGACAAACCAAAAGAATAATCATCATCCTAGAATGTTCAAATGTGAGTGTTACCTGAATAGGAGATAACAACCTTACCTAATGTAGAATTCTGAGGATGTAATTTCCAAAGAAATGAAAAGAATTTACAGTTGCTCAACTCAAAGTGCAGAAGGTGAAGGAAGAACAGCAAGGGAAAAGAATTATAATATTTAGCTATGTCAAAAGCAAGTGATGTTTCCCATCTTTATAGAAGACAGCATAACAAAGAAGAAGTTTAAATTACAGGGAAAAATACTTTCCAATGCCTAATCCTTGGATCTACCAGTAAACAGGGAGACTCCTCAGCCTTCTTATTTGCCTGAAAGCCTTTAAGAACAGGTTTTAAAAAGTACCATAAACAATCTGGGAAGAGTTAGTTTTACATTGGCTGAGAGAGCTTCTCTGAACATGTCTAGACAAGTTTTTCTGTACAAGTTCAGAATATTCAGGAGTCAGAAATGAAGCTTGTTCCTGTCAGAAATAGTTTTATCCAAGCACAAGTATACTTTCTTAATTTCTAAAAATATTAAAAGTAATTATTTTGATAGGAGTTCTTTATGTCAATAGAAGTGTGAACGCCATCCTGCTAATAAGACACTTAAAAGAAATATAACACTAATTGATAATTTCAATTAAATTTCAAATATATGCTTGATGCATTAATTGGAAAGATTTTACCTTCACCCAAAGACCTGTAAAAGAATTGAAGTGAACTGAACAAGCTATTTAATGAAAATAAAATTTTCCTTTCAATTTGATGCAAAAATTAGAAGCATGTAAGACTGCATTTCATACTGACAGAACAAAACCCACATGTCACATGCACTAGACTTCTCCAAATGCTGTGATTCAGCTCTTTATATGAAGTAATTGCACCCTGGTAGACCTTAGAACTTAATTATTCTGACCTAACAGACTGACCTTACCTGAGACCTTCTTTTACTGATCTAATATGCAGTTGAAAGTCTGTTTCAACTTCTGGCCTGTGCATTGCTTGTATTAAATTACTTGTTTTCACCTACTTTACAGATTACTTCATGGAAAAGTGACACCAGACAGCCAAGATATTGTCTTTTAAATAAATAAATTACATGCAGCCCCCTTTGCTACTGCTAAATCCCAAGACTTGCAGTTACACTTCTTCTGTTTGATACTTATAGTCAATATTGGATAAAATTCTTCCATACAGTTGTTCTTATTCACTTAAACTGCAATATTTTGTAAGCAGAAAATGTTCTTTGATAAAGGAAATTAAATTTCATAAAATGCCATCTTTCTACAAACAGTGGTTGAATTTACTGATGTGTTGTGGAACTGTGGCCAGTGTTAAGCATTACCTGCACATCATCAAACCAATTAATTTTTTTTGGGAAAGACACAAAGCACTCTAGATACTGGAAACTGCATTTCATCTACAAGCTGTAAACAGAGACATTGATTGTCAGAAACAAATCTGGGCAGAATCATGGCTCAATGGCATTTAACACAAAGAAGACATCTTCTCAAATAAGTGTTTTGTATCCTTTACCTCTTCCAGTCAGAGAAGCTCAATCTGCATCTCTAGTACACAAAATCTCAGACAATTTTTCTTTACTCTTCCATACTAAAGTACAGAATAATTTGGTGATATAAAGGCTTCTGTGTGTAGTCAGTTCTTCTGATCATTAGGAAAACAGCAGAGCTCTTGCTGCCTCTCAGGGGTATTACTCATCAGGAGCATACTTCACATTTCCTTATAACAAGGGCTGTCAAAAGAACCTGGGGCAGCCCTCTGCGGAGTCACCTGGTGTATCTAGAATTATCTAGCTCTTTAGAGATTGCAGAAGTGTACCTAAAGGAGTTTCTGAGACAGTCTATTAAAAAATGCCATCCTGTACCATAACATAAATACCTTGAAAAAATATTTTTGTTGCAGAGGTTTGGCAATACAGCCTAAGTAATAACATTTGAGGAGACTAGGCCGACATATTTACCATAAACATATTTTCCCATTGAAACAATAATTTTAGGATGTCATATAACTGTAGTGAAGAAGATAATGAAAAGATACAAGATGGACCAAAATGCTACAAATAGACTGGGATACACCAAACAGTATTGCACTGAGAAATAGTTGTAATACCTCTGTGCATATTTGCTCCATTAAGGGGTTGCAGTCCTTTGAATTATTTTTTTAAACCATACTTCTCTGCTGCTGTATATGAAATAGAAGATTGCAATGAGAAAAAGTCTCATAAACTACAAATCTTCTGCATTTTTTCAGTTGACTTCATGACTGGCTTGGTGTGTGGTGTTTCGTTAATGCCACCATAAGTTTCTTAGAAAGTTCAAGAAAGACATGGTTTTCCTTCTACAGTTTTTCTGGAGATGTATCACTGCATTAATGTACTGCTTACATTGAACAAACTGCTTTCAAACTTTTACTAAGAATGCAGCTCTTAAGCCCAAGTGTTAGTGTTTATGTCAATACAACTCTTAATGCATTCTGTTGCTAGGATAAGTTTGTTTACAGCTTGTGGATGAAGTAATTTTCATACCCTTTTTGTGAGGATCCCCTGTTTTTTCATTGACTGAATAGTTGCATCTAACCTCTCCTGCCCTCTGTGCGTGGGCAGCACTTCCTCTCTTTGGATCATATCTAATATTTCAACGGCAGCACCAGTTGTTACCAGTATCCAGGGAATTTTGCCAGCATCCTAGATTTACTGTAAAAAAGAATAATTATATCTCATCTCCTCTGAAAACTAGGCACTGAAATGGGAGCAACCCAATACACTGTAATGAGATTCCTTTCTACAAGACTTTAACCTTCTGTCTTAGGACATTAAAACCACCTTTCCTTACAGTTAATTAAAAGACATAATATGGTTCAACAGCTATTAAAATTAATAGGATAGCTTTTATTCTTTTAAGTATAAATTTTCTTGGGCATTTTCCTTTCTTACCAAGCCAGAAAATGGTTAGGTTTCAGGCTGGTAGAGAAATAACAAAAACACTGCTATATCTAAACTAACACAGGGTAATAATGAATCAGAAAGAAAACTGAAAAGTGAAAAATACTTACTCAGAACACTCAGTTTGGTAAAATTTCTTTTGATGAAATTCTCATTATTATAATTATATTATTCTCTGATTATAATCTCTTTTCAAGATGAGAACTGTTTCACTTCTCATGGCACTGTGGAGGACAATTAGCATTCTCAAAATGCTGCTAAAGTGACATCCAGGAAAGAATCCTCACTACTCTATTCTGCAGATCATGTGCTGACAAATAAAGTAAGAAAGGAAAAAACACAGGGGAATTTCCTAGTCTCATATTTACAGTTTTTTTTGTTTGTTTTCAAGTTATTTATTCATTAGGATAAGAACCAGGACTCAACTGAAATCTGCTAGGCTCAGATAAGAAGAAAAATTCCTATGTATTAAATTATTATCTAATAATTTTTACACAAAATATAATAGTATTAGAAAGAAAATATTTCGGAATGTTTATGGGTTTGAATATTAAAACATTTAGTATTGAAGACTCTAGTTCACAAAAATCTAGTTTGTACAGATATCAGAATCTAAGCTTCTTGTTTTTCCATCATCAATGTTGACCAGCATGGTGTTAAGAATTTTTTACAGGCAAGAGAAATTGAGAGCAGTAAGAATGATCTGCCCATAGTCAAAAACTGATGTCTGGGAGGTCTAAGCTGAAATGTAAAAACATCTTGTTCCTTCAGGAAATGCTGGAGCAAATTACCCGAGGACACTGTAGTCTCCATCCTTGAAGTTTTAAGACTCTGCTGGACAAACAGCTCAAATCCAAGCAGTGCGTTCAACCACAGTACTGATTGTAGACCATTACTGGACAGCTGTGTAGAGTGGCAAAGCTTTCAACCATACATCATGCTGCAGAATACAGACTGTAGTCCAAATCATCTGCTGAGGTGAAAGCTCAGACAGGAGGAGAAAGAGAGTTCTGAAATTTTATGGAAAGATTAACAGATTGAGATTAAACTCAAGAGCAGCCATCTTCCTGAAATCAAGCTCCGGTTTTTCATATACTTATGGGCATCTAAGGAAGGATGAAGAACTCTAATTTTTGGATAAAAATCATGACACGTGGTAGTGAGGGCTCTATCACTGATTTGAACAG